TTCCACGTGTTTGTGTATTTTTTGAGGTTTCTCTTGTTACCACTTTCTAGTCTTATTCCACTGTGGTCAGAAAAGATACTTGATGCAGTTTCTACTTTTTGAATTTGTTGAGACTTGTGTTGTGCCCTATGATATGATCTGTTCTGGAGAACGTTCCATGTTCAGTGAAAAAAATGTGTGTTCTGTGGCAGTTGGGTGAGATGTTCTTTAAACATCAATTAGGCCTATCGGGTCTCATGCATAGTTTAACTCTGTTGTTTCTTTGTTGCTATTCTGTTGGATGATCTGTATGTTACTGAGAGTGGGGTGTTGAAGTCCCCTACTCTCACTGTAATTAAGTCTGTCTGTTCCTTTAGATCTATTAATGTTTATTTTATATACTTGGGAGCTCCGGTGTTGGGTGCGTAGATATTGATAATTGTTACACCCTCTTGCTAAACTGATCCCTTTATCATTACAGAGCGACCCTCTTTGTCTCTTTTTACAATTATAAATTTGTGGCTTATTTTATTGAATACAAGCATAACGACATCTGCTTTTTTGCCTGTTTGTTTTCCAGTTGCATGGAGTGTCTTTTTCCATCCGTTTATTTTCAGTCCATGTGTGTCTTTATAGGTGAGGTGGATTTCTTAAAGGCAGCATATGGTTGAATCTTATTTCTTTATCCAGTCAGCCACACTATGACTTTTAATTGAGAACTGAGACCATTTACATCTAGTGTTATTATTGCTAAGTACGGATTTACTGCTTCTGTTGCCTATTTTCAGGTTGTTTTGAGAATCCTCTCTTCATTTAATACCCTGTGGTTAAATGATTAAGTATTATGTATTAATTTTTAATGAACTGATTATATGATTTTGTGCTGTGGTTATAAGGATTATAAAAAAACTTATAGATATAACAAGTTTATTTATTTGCTTATTTTTGAGATGTGGTCTTGCTCTGTCATGCAGGCTGGAGTGCAGTGTTACAGTCACAGCTCACTGCAGCCTCAACTTCCTGGGCTCAAGTGATCCTCTTGCCTCAGCCTCCCAAGTAGCTGGGACCACAGGCATATGTCGCCATATCCAGCTTTTTTTATTTTTTAAGTAGAGATGGTGTCTAGAATTCCTGGGCTTAAGTGATTCACCAACCTTGGCCCCCCAAAGTACTGGATTACAGGCATGAACCACCATGTCTGGCCATAACAAGTTACTTTAAAGAGATGACAACTTATTTTAGATAATGAGTAAAAAAATAGAAACAAAAGCAAAACCACCACACTCAAAAATTTACCTTTTAACTTCATCTCTCTCCATCCCCTGTTTGACTTCATTGCCTCCATTTCCATGCTTTACATTACCCATCTCTTAACAGGTTGCTGTAGTTATTATTGTTTTTAAAAGTTTTTTTTTTTTTTTTTTTTTTTTTTTTGCTGGGCATGGTGGCTCATGCCTGTAATCCTAGCACTTTGGGAGACTGAGGTGAGCAGCTCATGAGGTCAAGAGATCAAGACCATCCTGGCCAACATGGTGAAATCCTGTCTCTACTAAAAATACAAAAACTAGCTGGGTGAGGTGGTGTGCACCTGTAATCCCAGCTACTTGGGAGGCTGAGGGGGGAGAATCACTTGAACCTGGGAGTCAGAAGTTATAGTAAGCCAAGGTCACACCACTGCACTCCAGCCTGATGACAGAGCGAGACTCCATCTCAAAAAAAAAAAAAAAAAAGATTTGTCTTTTGGGCTTTACATCAGCGTTATAGAAGGATTGCATACCACAATTACAGTAATAGAACATCCGAGGTTGGCTCATGTACTTCATTTTCCCCAAGTCTAATACCTTGAAAACTTTTCTTTTTGCATGTGTCTTTTCTCTCAGATTGAAGAAATCTCTTGTATTTCTTGTACAACCTGTCTGATAGTGGTACATTTTTTCATCTTTTGTTTTTATCTTTCCTTCATATTTGAAGGACAGTTTTGCTGAATATATTATTCTCGAACGGCAGTTTTTTCTTTGAGCACTGTGCAGATGTTTCACTTCCTCATGGCCCGTACAGTTTGTTGCCAGGAGAATTGCGGCTCGTTTCCCTGTTATTTGCTGCTTGTCTCTTGTTGCTTTCAGGATCTTCTCTTTATTCTTGACTTTTGAGAGTTTGGCTATTACATGCTTTGGGGTGATCTCATTTGGGTGGTTTCTGTTTGGTACTCTCAGACACTCCTGAACCTGGTGATTTATATCTTTCCCAAGTTTTGGAATGTTTTCTTTTTTTTTGAGACGGAGTTTCGCTCTTGTTACCCAGGCTGGAGTGCAATGGCTCGATCTCGGCTCATCACAACCTCCGCCTCCTGGGTTCAGGCAATTCTCCTGCCTCAGCCTCCCGAGTAGCTGGGATTACAGGCACGCACCACCATGCCCAGCTAATTTTTGTATTTTTATTAGAGACGGGGTTTCACCATGTTGACCAAGATGGTCTCGATCTCTTGACCTCGTGATCCACCTGCCTCGGCCTCCCAAAGTGCTGGGATTACAGGCGTGAGCCACCGCGCCCGTCCTGGAATGTTTTCTATTATTAATTATTTGAATAAACTTTCTTGCTCAGCTCCCTCTTGAATACTAATAATTCTTACATTTGATCTTTTAAGGTAATTTTTTTTTATATCTTATGGGCAGAAGTCACCTATTTTCCATCTTATTTTTCTTTTTCCTCCTCTGATAGTTTATTTGCAATCAGCCTTTGAGCTCCCTGAATGACTCCTCTCCTTTGCCCATTCCACTGTGATGAGTTTTTCAGTTTAGCAAATGTATTTTCTAGTACCAAGATTTTTGTTTGGCTTTAAATTTTCTTTGTTAAATTTCTCTGATAAGTTTCTGAATTTCTTTTCTCTCTTTCCTTGGTCATCACTGATCTTCCTTAAACTGTATTTTGAATTCGTTCAGACAGCTCACAAATCACCGTCTTGCTAGGGTCAGTCATTGGATTTTTGCTTTGTCCTTTTGTGTATGTGGGGGTCGCGGTTCCCTGTTTAATGTTGATGTTGTTTCTTTCTTTCTTTCTTTCTTTCTTTCTTTCTTTCTTTCTTTCTTTCTTTCTTTCTTTCTTTCTTTCTTTCTTTCTTCTTTCTTTCACACGGACTCTTGCTCTGTCACCAAGCTGGAGCACAGTGACACAGTCTCAGTTCACTGCAACCTCTGCCTCCCAGGTTCAAGCAATTCTTCTGCCTCAGCCTCCCGAGTAGCTGGGACTAGAGGCGGGTGCCAAATGCCCAGCTAGTTTTTGCATTTTTAGGAGAGACGGGGGTTTCACCATGTTGGCCAGGATGGTCTCGATCTCTTGACCTCGTGATCCACCCACTTAGGCCTCCCAAAGTGCTGGGATTACAGGCGCGAGCCACTGCGCCCGGCTGATGTTGTTTCTTATAGGTATATATCTATGCCTTTGCATTAAAGCACCAGCTAGTTAGTCCACTTTCCTTTGTCTGCCCTGCCTTGTTTTGTTTTATATTGGCTACGTTTGCTTAGCAAATCTTTCCCACTAGGTCACTGCATACATTTCAGCTCTAGGTGGCACATAAAGTCCAGATTTGCCTTGGTTTGGCCTATCCTGAAAAGGAGACGTCCCAAGGGAACTATCCTGGCAGTGTGTCAAAGTTGGCTTGGGGGCTCATGCCCAAGGGACCTGTGGAATGTACCTCCTACAGTATGGTGCTGCTGAAGAGCCACTCTGATTTGGTGTCTCCTTTGGCCGAGTTACAGAGCAGAGTTGCTGGGACTGGGAATGGCGGTTTCACCTCCGCTCTTTTTCTCTGCCTATCCTCAAGCTATTTCCCCTTCAGGCAGTCACCATGGTTCCTGTGGGTTAAGGCAAGGACAGATTTCCTGCCAGGGAACCCAAGATAGCGGGAAAACTAATCGACCACCTCAACCTCACTTTTTCCAGTGTAGAAACATGAGTCAGCAGAAGATTTTCTGCCCACTTGTTACCAGGCAGAACTGGGGGGAAAGGCGTTGTGAATGTGGAAGCCTGACTCTCCTATCATCTGCCCGGAGTTTTTTCGCTTCTCTGTGGTTCTGGAATCTGTCTCATCCTCGCATTTGAGTTCTGGGTTGTTGCTGGTGAAAATCTCAGAGCTTTATATTAAGTTTTGGTTTTCTGTTGGGTAGAGGGGAGTGAAGCCAGATTGCTTCCATGCTGCCATTTATAAACATTTGGGGTATTGCCCCTATTTTAATTAAAGTTATTCCATCTTTCTCTCATTATCTGAAAATATATCTCATCTTTTAGTACTTATTTTGACTCTAGTTTGTATTCTAAGGTTCTACCTGTATCTATGCTTGTTCAGTTATTTGTTATTAACTAATTTATATTAACTTGTTCATTTCTTCACTTATTTTTATACATCTTATATGAAGGACTAATGATCTTTTTATTTCTTATGGACCTTAACTTGTTCATTTTAATTCTATCCAGGCATCAGGTGATTTCATTATGTCTTTTAGACTGGTTGTGTCTGAACGTATACATAGGGAATCCATATTATTTTATCATAAGTTAGTTTCATTTTATCTTGATTTCATACTAGAGTTAGAAAAAGATATAAAATTAAAAAAATCAGTATGTAGATTTCCAAATCTGTGAAGTACTATTTAAAATATTAAAGAGGGCATTACATAATATTAACATGAAAATGGAATGCTGTCTTACAGGGTTGCGAACACTGCCTTAGATAATCTCTAACGTTCTCTCATCTCCAAAATCCTGTGACTACCTGGTTTCTTAAACCTTATCAAGAACAGTGAACACCTCTGTTTCCCAGAACAGGATCTATTCCACTCACAGAAACTCGTGCTAAGTTGACCATACTCTTTTGCTAGTACCAATGTTTATTTTCTACTCATAAAAGATCAGCCATTTTTGTCATTGATTTCATTGAATTGAAGAGCTCTTGCTGAATCAAGTGACGCAAACATTAGTCGTCCCGACATGATTATTTCACACCCATCTCTGTGTACTCTTCTTACCTAGCTTGACCAGGTGGAGCATGGAGGTATTACTTCCTCTTTCAGTACAAGCAGTGACTGAGAGGTTGTAGATGTCTCCTGGAGGTAAGCTGAGAATTGCAGTCATGACATTGCGTGTGACCTGCAAGATCATCAAAATCAAGGGTTTAAACTTTTAGTGAATAAGCCAGTGGACCACCCCAAACAACCTAAGGAGTGTAGCAGACACATTCCCTCTCTGTTTGATGCTGCCATCTGCAATTTATTATATTATAGGTAAATTAAATCTTCTGAAAATTTTATAAATTCATCAGCTGGGGCCAGTGCAAGGTAGCTTTAACAATGCATTATGTACATCAGAACAAGTTTGCAATTAATTGCCTAATTTGGAATGGGTCTTATACTGACATTTTCTCACATATTTATAACAGGTTTAAAAAAAGACAGTTACTGAGTTGCTACTGATATGTACATTCTAAGAAGTTCAAAAGAAACTTAGCTGGGCATGGTGGTGGGTGCCTGTAGCTCCATCTACTTGGGAGGCTGAGGCAGGGGAATCACTTGAACCTGGGAGCAGAGGTTGCAGTGAGGCAAGATCTCACCACTGCACTCTAGCCTGGTGACAGAGCTAGACTCTGTCTCAAAAAAAAAAAAAAAAGAAAAAAGAAACCTACCCATATCTACAGACATGTGGCTTCCTACCTACTGGCCTTTATTATTTCCCATCCTCTCCTACAGCTAGAGGGGACGATGTGACCCAGCCATGACCAGTGGATTGTAAGTACAAGTCACATGGACAACTTATAGTTCAGTTCACACCCTGTACGTGCTGGGCTTCCACATCCTCCCTTTTCTTTCCCCCTTCCTGCAGGTTGGAACGTGGATGTAATGGTGATAAAGGTTCCTCTCTCCTCTCTACACACAGGAACTACACATACTGGCAGATGGAACAACAAAACAGGATGACCCTTTAGAGCAGAAGGGCCCGGTTAGTCCTGTGCTCTCATGGGAGAGGCAGAAACTTCTATTTTGTTTGAGCCACTCTCCTTTTGTTTGTTTCTTGATTACAGTAGTTTAGTCTGTATCTTAATCAATAAACATCAAAAAGTGTATTTTGGAGAAAAGAAATCAGTAGTCTCAAAGTCCCCAAATCTTTAGGTGTTGGTGATATATGGGGAAAATTTGGAAATATATTAATTGTAGTTTTCTTGAAAATGTTTGGCATCCCGAAGAAAAAGCTCAAACCATAATTATAAATATAAGTCAAATCAATAGTTGCAATGACTACAGTTCACTGTTGAAGATTAAACGGTAAGCTCTATGAAAGGAAGAATTTAACGTTTGTTCACTGTCTTATCTCTACGGCCTAAATCAGACTACGGGTATGCAAGCATTCGGCGCCCCAATAAATGATTGCTTAGTGGTTTTCAGTAGTTCATAAAACTAAATGTACAGACACACAATACTGGCATTCAAAGAAACATACACTCTTTTTAATTTTCTTTTTTCCTTCTGCAACAACCATCCAGTGGAGCATTCTAGAATGGGACAGGTCTGTTGTGTCATCCCCATATGTCCAACTGATATATAACAGACTGTTGAAATATTCCACAGAAGTGATTTCTGGAGCCACTGGGGCTACAAGGGAGAAAAGAGGCACAATTTAGTGTGATAGACTCATAAATACAGTGTTTAGCAGTAGAGCATGAAATCCCATTTGGATTCAACTTAGCAAATTAGAATTCAAAGCACGTGATAGTCCTGGTAACTACTGGACCTCTCAGCAGCAGTGAAGGATGGTGACACACAGTGGGCGCTTGTTATGTGGGATCCCACACCTTGTATCGCTAAGATACAACACACCCAGACCCATCCGTACCTGAGGAAATCAGTCTTTTATATAAATTTCACCAATACAAGAGTCCTAAAAGGGTCACTCGTTTGGATATATTTGTTACATCAGCCGACGAATATTAACGGGTATCAGTAGAGTTATAATCTAAGAAGGATTAAAAAAAACCTAGAGTCCTGTAAAGGTCAGTCTCTTTTATTTACTTGCAGCAAAGAGGTTTATAGAATGAAGAACAGTAGGATGCAAGGGTAGAAAGATTATAGAAGACAAATGTTATTTTCATAAAATAACAAGACATTATTATTGACAATGTCTAGCCCAGTGCTTTGCAGAAACAGGCTCTTAATAAATGTTGCTGAAGCAACTAGTAAGAGAGAGAAAGAAAGGAAGAATAAGCTTTTTTTAAAAAATCATGCCCAAAGCTAAATTCTAACACTGAGTTTCCTACTTTATCATCTTACACATTTAAATTTTTAAAAATTTAGGCAGGGAATGCCTGTAATCCCCGCATTTTGAGAAGCCATGGTGGGTGGATCTCTTGAGTCCAGGAGTTCGAGACCAGCCTGGGCAACAGAGTGAAACCTCATCTCTACAAAAATATTAAAAAATTTAGCTGGGCATGGTGGCATACCCTGTAGTCCCAGCTACTAGGGAGGCTGAGGTGGAAGGGCTGTTTGAACCCAGGAGATTCAGGCTGCAGTGAGCCGTGAGCCTGTCACTGCATTCCAGCCTGGGTGACAGAGTGAAACGTTGGCTTAAAAAAATATTTACTTCTATTTACTTATTTATTTTTGGCAGCATCTCACTTTGTCACCCAAGCTGGAGTGCAGTGGTGCAATCTCGGCTCATTACAGCCTCGACTTCCCAGACTCAAGCATCCCTCCTGCCTCAGCCTACCAAGTAGCTAGGACCACAGGTGCAGGCCACCATACTCGGCTAATTTTTGCATTTTTTGTAGACACAGCGTCTTTTCATGTTGCGCAGGCTGGTCTTGAACTCCTGGGCTCAAACAATCTGTCCACCTTGGCCTCCCGAAGTGCTGGGATTATAGGCATGAGCTTGCACACCCAGCTGAAGAAAAAAGAAAAAATTAAAAATGTGTTAACTAGGGAGGAGAATTCATCACAAACTTTAGATTATATAGGCTTTGGAAGCATATTTTAATTACCTTTTAAAGTAACTGCGAATTCTGATTATTTTAAAGAGCAAACACCCAGTTGAATTTAAATTCCACGTACATGTTGGTTTGAAGACAGTAGGTATTCTATTCTGAGATAGAGGACAACGTCAACTTCAATCTTTAGACAATTTCTATAAAGTATAGAGAATTATTTCCCCAATATGATGCTAATACTTACAACAAACATGCATAACTAGCTATGCTTTCACAAATAATTTTTCACTGAAGAATTTGTAATATATAAAGTAAAAACACATTTCTGTTTTGTGTGAAATAGGAACAGCATTTATATAGTATGTTTAGCAATAAAACCTTGAAATATCAGCAATGCATCTAACAAGTAACACAAATCTACATCATATTTCAGAATATTCTACTAAAGGAAAACAACCTTGGCTTCCAGGTTAGTCCAACAGATTTATTTCATCAGATATAAGAATCTACGCATATATTTCTTCAAAGGATATTTTCTCATGTCCTAATTTTCATAATGAAAAGAAACATCTTTAAAATTGCAAATCCAGAAGTACATATCTTTCCTCTCACATGTCAGATTTTAATTTCCGTGTTGTTGCTTTAAAACCTAGCATCTTGATAGAAGGCCACAAGATGTCACTATTTGTTTATTAATAATTTGGCCCCTCAGAATAATTACCGTGATTGAGGCTAGCCAACTGACTTGCCTAATGCAGATGGCAGACTTGAGTTCCCAATAAATCACATCTAATTCAACTATTTTCTTCCTATTTCCTTCAATACCACACAATTTGGAAAATTCAAAGCATAGAAGTTAGGCATGGGATTCTTATTTGCTTTAAATGAGAAGGTAAACAACATCACACACTCACGGGTTTTTATATATTACAAATTCTTCAGTGAATAATAGCTAGTCAAGAATGTTTGTTTTATGAGTATTAGAATCCACTTTGGGAGGCTGAAGCAGGTGGATCACCTGAGATCATGAGTTTGAGACCACCTGGGCCTACATGGTGAAACTCCTCTCTACTAAAAATACAAAATAAATTAGCTGGGTGTGGTGGTGCATGCTTGTAATCCCAGCTACTTGGGAGGATGAGGCAGGAGAATTGTTTGAACCTGGGAGGCGGATGTTGCAGTGAGCCGAGAGTGAGCCATTGCATGCTAGCCTGGGCAACAGAGTGAAACTGCGTCTCAGAAAAAAAAGTATTAGTATCATATTAGGCCTGTCAGGAGGTAGGGGGTCAGGGGAGGGAGAGCATTAGGACCAATACCTAATGCATGCGGGTCTTAAAAACTAGACTATGGGTTGATAGGTGCAGCAAACCACCATGGCACATGTATCCCAGAAGTTAAAGTGAAATTGAAAAAATACAAGAAAACCTACTGGAATTTTCAACTGGTTTTAAAAATAAGTATAATGATATTAATTATATTAAATGATATTAAAAAATGGTAATAATCTGTCATATATAACAGTGACTTACGTCACATGATTTAATTCTCACACATTCTGTGAGGTATTTATTATTCTTTATTGTTTATTTATCATAATTATACCCATTTTATAGATGTGAGAATTGAGACCATCTCTGTCAATATATTCGGACAATATCTATAGACGGCTGGTTCAGCATGACTTATTTATTTGACCCAGGAAAAGATAGGAAATGGTCGAAGATTTCATTGGAGACAATTTACCAGGTAAGTAGCTTGTATATTAACCATAGTCTATTGAGCCACGCTTGCTATGTCCATTTAAATTGTTATAAACTTGGCCCGATCCTAGTCAGTTTCCCATCTTGGAAGGCATACCTTAAACCACTTGAGCCAGAAAACCAAATCCTATTAATGTTTTGTTTCTTCTGTTTCCCGTTAAGAGACAGTGCAAAGACTGTCATGGTGGTGTTCGGTATATTAAGTTTTGCTCCCCTAACCAGTTGTCTCTAAGTAGGCTGTAGAGCCTATTTAGCTGACATTTTAGGGGGTTCTACCAGTGAAAAACAGAAGCCCAGAGTCACTGAGATAATTTGCTCACAGTTTGGCAGCTAGAAATGAACAGTCCCAGGTTCAGATATTACATCTGGAGTTTTTCCAGGCAACTGTCCTGCTGGGAAGGAAAGAGCATTCTCAGAAAGTTATTATCAATATAGTTAAATTAGAAGAATTATCGATGCAGTGAAGTTTAATGTAATTAAATATGTGATTATCATTCAATATAGGCAAAAGCCTAACACAGTGCTTGCCAAATAATTGATTTTTTTTTTCTCCTTTTTGGGTATTCTTTCACTTTTGTGCTCTAATATTACTATTAAAATTTGGAAGAAAAAGTGCTCTGGATATTGGCTAGTAAAGAAAAGAGACATGCTTATGTAAGGTCATTGTGTAAGAATTCACAGGTGATTGATTTCTTCCCACTTTTTTTTCATTGACAAATTTCAACAGAGTAAACTAGATGTGCAGTGAGGAAACCATTTGCCAGAATTATTCCCCTAAGCAGTATTTTTCTCCTCTGTTTCCTCAGGACGGCTCTAATGACAACCTTGTTTGATAAAAGGTTCTTGAAAAGTCTTAGTTCAAACAATGAGGGTTAGTGTTTCTTTGAGGAATTTCCCCTTTTCATTGCTATCTCTGACTACTGATGATACAACTGCATAATTTAAGGTTCCCAAAGATAAAAGACCAATCATTTTGTAAGTGCTTAAACTTTGTATCACGTATTCTGCAAAGCAGCTTATGTAATAGTGAAGTTGTAATAAATAATAACAGATAGCTGATACTATTATCATCCCATTCAAATACTTGAAAAAAATTAACAAGTATTTTCAACATGAAAAAAACTGAGGCTTAGTAAATTTAACATGCTCAAGGTTGAATTTCTGTGGTGTGCCGGAGGGTCTATTCAAATCCATATCTATCTGCCTCTTTTATTTCTACAATGGACCCTACTACAGTTAGACTATGACTTTAGAAATGGCTTAATTAATAAGGAAATGGAGGCACTCTAGCAAATATAATCATCATATGGGTAAAATCAATTGACCGTGCAGTGTAAAGCTGTTGGCTGTACCTGCCACATCTCCATTCTAATCAGTCCTAGCTGCGGACTATATAAATCAAGGTCAGTGCCTCAGAATAAAAATAAGTCAAGGGTGGTAACTCAGAATAAAAATGATATTTTACTTTTTAAAGATTATCAACTGGACAAAATAATGAATGATCAGAATCCATATTACCTCTCATGAAATTGATGTCCACCCAGTGCTGGGTGAATGGCACTTTCTAGTGCTTTGGAGCCTCGATAACTCCTCAGAATAATGCTCTCTCCTTATGGAACCATTCCCCACATGTGCCTCACCTGTTATGAAGCTGATGGTGGAGCTGTCACAGCAGCTCAATTCTGGATCTCCCCATGTCACCATGGTAACCCGGAAGTTGTAGTACCATGCTGGCAGCAGATTAGCTACTCTCTGAATGAGAAAAGCAAGCAAGGAGACAAAAGACTGAGGGTGAAGGCACTATTTTTGGAGTAGAGTTACTTTCATTAGGTCTTAAAAAAATTAACAGGTAATTTTAATTTTCCTTTTTAGTCTATTTCTTAAATTTATGATAATAAAATATTCTTTCTAGAATGAAGTGAGACATCAATAAAATAAAATACAAAAATATAATTTTTAAAGGTGATTCAAAGATATAGAGCCAAAGATTTCCAATATTTGTTTCATTTTGCAATTTCCTAATATCACACCCATGAAATAGTGGTTATTTATAAGTGACTATACACACATATCTCCCTATTTCTAAGACAAATAACCTCTCACAACTCTGTGTTTTTTCAATGTAGACCATGAACAGGAGTCCTTCAGAATCTTCAACTGGGTAAAGAGCAATTGTGTACTTTGTGAACAGCCTGTGGGTAACTTACACTCTTCAAAATTATTGCCATTTCAGAAAGAGCAATTTTTACCTGTTTTCTTAAAAACCATCCTCTACAAGCCTGACATTAAAGGTATTTAATAGATTAGTAGTTGTCACAAAGAGTCATCATTAAAGTTAGGCAGTGTCAATTAACTACTGAATGCCAAAGGAAATCTCTCATGTGTCCTTCCCCAGGAGCCCCGGGGAAGCATTAAGCGCATGACTGCTTTATTCTGCTTTAAGCAAATATGTTAGGAAAAAATGTAAAAAATGTTGATTAACAAATACATTCAATTGGAGATGACAGTTAGCTTCATACAATTATCTCTTTCCCTCTCAAAACAAAAAAGAACCCCAAAACCTAAAAGCAAAACAAATAAAAAAAACCTTGAAAATAGCCATACCTATCTGATATGGTTTGGCTGTGTCCCCACCCAAATCTCATCTTGAATTCTCATCCCCAAATCTCATCTTGAATTCCCACATATTGTTGGAGGGACCCTGTGGGAGGTAACTGAATCATGGGGGCAGGTCTTTCCTGTGCTGTTCTCATGATCGTGAGTAACTGTCATGAGATCTGATGGTTATTATAAGGGGGAGTTTTCCTGCGTAAAGTCTTTTTGCTTGCTGCCATCCATGTAAAACATGACTTGCTCCTCCTTGCCTTCCACTATGATTTTGGCCTCCCCAGCTACGTGGAACAGTAAGCCTAATTAAATCTCTTTCTTTTGAAAATAGCTCAGTCTTGGGTATGTCTTTGTCAGCAGAGTGAAAACCAGCTAATACAGTGAATTGGTAGAGAGAGTGGAGTGCTACTGAGAAGATACCCAAAATTTGTAACTGGGTAACAGGCAGAGGTTGGAACAGTTTGGAGAGCTCAGAAAACAGTAAAATGTGGGAAATTTTGGAACTCCCTAGAGACTCATTGAATGGCTTTGACCAAAATGCTGATAATGATATTGACAATGAAATCCAGGCTGAGGTGGTCTCAGGTGGGGATGAAGCACGTGTTGGGAACTGGAGCAAAGGTGACTCTTGTTATGATTCAGTATAGAGACTGGCAGCATTTTGCCCTTGCCTGGAGATTTGTGGAACTTTGAACTTAAGAGAGATGATTTAGGGTATCTGTCAGAAGAAATAATTTCTAAGCAGCAAAACATTCAAGAGGTGAGTTGGGTGCTGTTAAAGGCATTCAATTTTAAAAGGGAAACAAAGCATAAAAGTTTGGAAAATTTGGAGCCTGACAATGTGATAGAAAAGAAAATTCCATTTTCTGAGGAGAAACTCAAGCTGGCTGCAGAAATTTGCATAAGCAAGGAGGAACTGAATGTTAATCCCCAAGACAAGGGAAAAATGTCTTCAAGGCATGACAGAGGTCTTCACAGCAGCCCCTCCCATCACAGGCCTGGAGGCCTAGGAGGAAAATGTGGTTTCACAGCCCAGGCCCAGGGTGCCTGTGATGTGTACAGCCTAGTAACTTGGTGCCCTGCATCCTAGCCACTCCAGCTGTGGGTGAAAGGGGCCAACACAGAGCTCAGGTGATGGCTTCAGAGGGTGTAAGCCCTAAGTCTTGGCAACTTCCACATGGTGTTGAGCCTGTGGGTGCACAGAAGTCAAGAATTGAGGTTTGGGAATGTCTGCCTAGATTTCAGAAGATATATGGGAACACCTGGATGCCCAGGCAAGATTTGCTTCAGGGGTGGGGCCCTCATGGAGAACCTCTGCTAGGGCAGTGCAGAAGAAAAATGTGGGGCTGGGGACCCCATACAGAGTCCCTGTTGGGGTATTGCCTAGTGGAGCTGTGAGAAGAGGGCCACCATCCCACCATCCTCCAGGCCCCAGAATGGTAAGTCCACCAACAGGTGCATGCACTGTGCACCTGGAAAAGCCACAGACACTCAATGCCAGCCTGTGAAGGCAGCCAGGAAAGGGGATATATTCTGCAAAGCCACAGGGGTGGAATTGCTGAAGACCATGGAAACTCACCTCTTGTCAGTGTGACCTGGATATGAGACATGGAGTCAAAGGAGATAATTTTGGAGCTTTAAGATCTGACTGCACCACTGGATTATGGACTTGCATGGGGGCCTGTAGCCTCTTTGTTTTGGCCAATGTTTCCCATTTGGAACAGTTGTATTTACCCAATGCCTGTACCCCCAGTGTATCTAGGAAGTAACTAACTTGCTTTTGAAGTTACAGACTCATAGGCAGAAGAGACTTGCTTTGTCTTGGATGAAACTTTTGACTGTGGACTTTCAAGTCAGTGCTGAAATTAGTTAAGACTTTGTGGGACTGTTGGAAGGCATGATAGGTTTTTGAAATGTGGGGATATGAGATTTGGGAGGGGCCCGGGGTGGAGTGATAGGATTTGGCTTGTTCCCACCCAGATCTCATCTTGAATTCCCACATGTTGTGAAAGGGACCTGGTGGGAGGTAACTGAATCATGGGGGCAGGTCTTTCCCATGCCATTCTTGTGATAGTAACTCTCATGAGATTTGATGATTATTATAAGGGGGAGCTTTCCTGCACAAGCTTTCTTTGCTTGCTGCCATCCATATAAAAATGTGACTTGCTCCTCCTTCCCTTCCATCATGATTGTGAGGCTTCCACAGCCACGTGGAACTGTAAGTCCATTTAAACCTTTCTTTTGTAAATTGCCCAGTCTTGCATATGTCTTTATCAGCAGTGTGAAGATGAACTAATACACCATGTGTATTTACTAAATTATCAGATTTATAGATAATTTTTTAAAGACACATTTGTTACATAAAATCATGCCTGTTCCCATAGGAAAGAGTGACAGTTGGTTAAGGGAAGGTTACCACGGATGCAGTTAAGGAGACAGTTGCTGCTATTTCATAGTAGGTTGTCCACTCTGATGTCATCGTAGCAGGGTTGAAATAAAACATTTCAACCACATATTTTCTGAACACGCCTAAATAAGGTCTGGTCCAGCTCAGAACCACTGCCGTAGGTCCCAAGGGATAGAGCATTAAATCCTTTATTCCAGTGGGAACTAATAAGAAAAGGGGAGGGGTTGGAAAAAGAAAGTTAAGAGGAATGTTTACTGTCTTAGCAACGGCCTCAAACTTCTACTTAATGACCAGAGTTTTCATTCTTCAGTTACAATCCCTTCACTCACTCCCTCCCTCCCTCCCTCCCTCCCTCCCTCCCTCCCTCAATATCTCCTTCCCTTCTTCCCTGAGTTGCTCCCTCCCTCCCTCCTTCCTTCCTTCCTCCGTCCCTCCCTCCCTCCCTCCCTCCCTCCCTCCCTCCCTCCCCTTCCTTCCTTCCTCCCTCCCCTTCCCTCCTCTCTCTCTCTTTTTCTTTCTTTCTTTCCCCTTTTTCTTGGTTCAGTGTGTTGCTATGTTACCAAGGCTGGATTAAAATTTCTGGGCTAAGCAGTACGCCCACCTCAGCCTCCCAAGTAGCTGGAACTTTAGGTGTCTACCTCATGGCACACAGCTTTCTTCTTGTTATATAATCATTGAAAACTAAAGTAAGTATGTTTGCCTCTGATTTTTCCCCCAAGTAATAAATATTGATACTGTCTTTCAAGTGTACAATTCTATATTTATTACTCTGAAGGTGGAGTATTAAATTAACAAATATAAGCCTTCCAAATACAATGATAGTGATTTGAGCTTGCACATTGCACCCCTCCAGTCAGTACCCTAATATATATGTCATTCTTCTTGTGGCTAGCAACTTACCAATAGCAAACGTCACAGGATCTGAAGGTGGTCCAACCAAAGGGCCTTTCCTTAGGTATATTACAACCTGGTATTGGGCACCAGGAACCAGATTTTCAATAATAGGTTTGCTTGAGTTCACCTTTAAACCAAACACCCAATAAGATTTACTTAGAGCTGGGCTATCAGAATGTGACACAGAGGCTGAAGTAATATTCAGGGACTCTTTTTGGAATCACAGATGACTTTGAAATCCAAAAGGCTTTCCTCAAGCTGGAAGATCAGATTCCAAAATTATCAAAAATTAGGATGGTTTATAGTTTATGTGAACACTGAAGGGAACCTAGGACATTCAAATTTTGTTTATTCTAAGCCATGGGAACTGCTTTATACCCATCAATGTCAATTGTAACTACGTACACTAGAGACGCATCAGCCTCTAACCGTAATCAAATCAGCAATACCATGAAGAGAGTTTGACATCCTAAATTGTAGTGTCAGCTGATTACATGTAAAGATCAGTACAGAAATGCTTTAGTCTCTTGTCACTTAGAAGCATGTAATATGTAATTATGGAAATGGAAATAACCTCTGGGCACAGTGGGCTGTGCCTGTAATCCCAGCACTTCGGGAGGCCAAGGCAGGTGGATCATTTGAAATCAGGAGTTCAAGACCATCCTGAACTCCTGAAGATGAACAAGGTGAAACCCTGTCTCTACTAAAATACAAAGAAAATTAGCCAGGCATGGTGATGGCACCTGTAATCTCAGCTTCTCGGGAGGCTGAGGTAGGAGAATTGCTTGAACCCAAGAGGTGGAGGTTTCAGTGAGCCGAGATCGTGCGACTGCACTCCAGCCTGGGTGACAGAGCAAGACTAGCTCTCAAAAAAGAAAGAAAGAAAGAAATGGAAATGACCTCAGACACTACCTAGTTCAAAGTGCTCATTTAATAAAGTAAAGCCAGAGAATGGCCGAGGTCATATATTTAGATGCAGTGTTGGGACTGGAAGCCTCGTGTTGGGACCTCTGATCTACACTATGGGCAGGTCACTGGGCTAAGCATAGAGCTATCCTGGTAAGCACCATGCTAGGCTGTTGTAGCCCCTAAAATAATATTGTAGAGTACAGTTCTCATTTAGATGAGACCTTCTTTACTGTTCTTTTTTTTTGAGGTGGAGTCTTGCTCTGTTGCCCAGGGTGGAGTGAAGTGGCATGATCTTGGCTCACTGCAACCTCTGCCTCCCAGGTTCAAGTGATTCTCTTGCCTCAGCCTCCTGAGTAGCTGGGATTATGGTTGTGGACCACCATGACTGGCTAATTTTTGTATTTTTAGTAGAGATATAGTTTTGCCATGTTGGTCAGTCTGGTCTCGAACTCCTGACCTCAGGTGATCCACCCACCATGGCCTCCCAAAGTGCTGAGATTACAGGCACGAGCAACCACTCCTGGTCCTGCTCTTAAAAAAATTTTGGATACATAACAAATACCATGTAGAGAAAAATACTGAGAACATAGAGATGAGTAAAATGCATTTTATTTTTGATTTTGTATTTTTTTGAGAAGGAGTCTCACTCAGTTGCTAGGCTGGAGTGCAGTGGCACCATCTTGGCTCACTGCAACCTCTGCCTCCCGAGTTCAAGCAATCCTCCTGCCTAAGCCTCCTGAGTAGCTGGGACTACAGGCATGCACCATCACGCCCAACTAATTGTTTTGTGCTTTTAGTAGAGACAGGTTTCACCATGTTGGCCAGGATGGTCTCAACCTCTTGACCTCATGATCTGCCCACTTCGGCCTCCCAAAGTGCTGGGATTACAGGCGTGAGCCACCATGCCCAGCATAAAATGCGTTTATTAAAATGGAGTGTTGGCACGCACAAGAATTGATGATTTGACTAAGAGATTAAAGTGCTGCTTTGACCTTTAGTGTCTCTGATATTTAAGACAGATTGCTTGGTGGAAAGAACACAGGTTCGTTTTTGAGACCACCTGGAATAAATCCTGACTCTACTCCTTATTATGGGGGTTTACTTATGCTTTATAATTTATTTAAAATTCTTACCTTGGTTTCTTCATTGCTAAAATACAGGTAATAAAATTATATACCTCATAGAGTTTTAGAATGCTTAAACCAGAGTTCTGTAAATATTAACCTTTACTGATCTAATCAACTGTTTTTGCCTCTAGGATACATAAAATTTTGGAATTCCTGCAGGAAGGAACATGAATCAGTGGAGAACAATATTGTTTACAGCTTATCTATGTTGTAAGGTGTTTTTTAGAGGCTCACTAAGATTTGAAGGATTAATATAGAACTGGTGATATGATAGGAACTTTAGAGCTTTCCACACCGGAAACTGATTATACACAGTAGAAACTGTCTGATTTGAATTGGTACCACTTGCTCTACATGTAAGCAAAAGGAGCCATATACCAAAATTTATTTTCCATTGGCTTAAACAAAATAAGATTACATTGAATTAATAAATTAGCATTTTTCATTCTTTCTTTCCTACTTATACTCTTTCATATCAGGGTTTCTTGCACAGTTTTAGATTTTTAATTCTGCTGGAAGACATATAGACAGATCTAGTCAACTAGATCTCATCTAATAGAGAATTTTCTTTCTTTTTTCTCTTTCTTTCCTTCCTTCTTTTTCTTTCTTTCTCTCTTTCTTCTTTCTTTCTTTCTCTCTTTCTTTTTTTCCCTCCCTCCCATCCTTCCTTTCATTTATTTCTTCTTCTTCTTTTTTTTTTCTTTGAGACAGATTCTCGCTCTGTTGCTCTGTTGCCCAGGCTGGAGTGCAGTGGGATAGTCTCCGCTCACTGCAATCTCTGCCTCCTGATTTCAAGCGATTCTTGTGCCTCAACTACCTAAGTAGTTGGGATTACAGATGTGTGCCATCATGCCCAATTTTTGTATTTTTAAAAGAGACAGGGTTTCATTGTGTTGGCCAGGTTGGTCTCAAACTCCTGGCCTCAAGTGACTCTCCTGTCTCAGCCTCCCAACTTGCTGGGATTATAGGCATGAATCACCGAGCCTGGCCTGATAGAGAATTTTCTGAAGAGACAAACTATGATAAGGAGATGCATATTATCTACAACTAAGCAGCATTATTTTGTTTGTTTAAAATACACTTTACATGATAAAACATGTATGCTCATTGTAAAAGTTGTTCACTCAATAAGAAAACAAATGAAGTAAATTGGACATCTTGTTTGTTCTCTTCCCACAAATCCTGACATTTTGATATGCATTCTTCTAGAACTTCTTATAACATATATACATAAACAAGATGCTATTGAACCTCAAAATATATTATCAACATTGCTTCAGGCACAGTGGCTCACCCCTAAAATCTCAGCACTTTGGGAGGCAGATCACTTGAGGTCGGGAGTTCGAGACCAGCCTGGCCAACATGGTGAAACCCTGTCTCTACTAAAAATACAAAAATTAGCTGGGTGTGATGGCTCACTTCTGTAGTCCCGGCTACTCGAGAGGCGGAGATGGGAGAATGGCTTGAACCTGGGAGGTGTAGGTTGCAATGAGCCAGGATCATGCCAGTGTACTCCAGCCTGGGTGACAGAGCAAGACTCCATCTCGAAACCACCACCCCCCCAAAAAATTGCTCCATTTAAACTTAACACATTGTAGACATCTGACCATAAATATAAGTGCTGACCTAGCTCATTAGTTACCTGTCTTGCTTATTTAGAATATTTAAAATAATAAAGGACATGAGGAATATGGATTGTTTCAGGGTGACATTAGGGTTCCTTTCTTTTGATAGTATTTTAGGTAATAGTTGATTCTAACTATTCAAATGACTACCTAAAATCATAGCTATTTAAATATGCCATTATAGCCGGGCACAGGGGCTCATGCCTGTAATCCCAGCACTTGGGAAGGCCAAGGCGGGCGGATCACGAGGTCAAGAGATGGAGACAATCTCGGCCAACATGGTGAAACCCCGTCTCTACTAAAATTACAAACATTAGCTAGGTGTGGTGGGACACCCCTGTAGTCCCAGCCTGAGGCAGGCAAATCATTTGAACCTGGGAGGCGGAGGTTGCAGTGAGCTGAGATTGTGCCACTGCACTCCAGCCTGGTGACAGAGCAAGACTCCGTCTCAAAAAAAAAATCCATTATAATAAATTTATCCTATGGATATTATACTTTAACAAATAAGCAGCTATGGGCATAGCTATGAGCATATATATCATATTACTTAAGAAATGACAAGATGGTAATTTTATTACAGATGACCTGACTTGGTGATAAATTATAAATACTAATTCTTGTCTTCCTTAATTTCTGAATATTTACTGAGCTGCTAACCTATATTTACACTTCTGTGTTTCTCTCTGCCTTTTTATTTAGTCTGGACCTCCTTGGGTGTGTGTTAGAGGAAGAAAAGGGAAATGTCCCTGCATTCTGCATATTAGGTAATGTGTTTTATTTTTACAAAATAATTTCACACTCACTGCTCCTTAATTTCCACTCAGTTAGCATCCCAGTATTTTTCCTGACTGCCTTAATCTTCATTCCTGAGAATTTAGTTGAGTCCAATGTCTCTCCAACTGGATACCAGTTCTATTTCCCCTCAGCTAAAGGAATAAGGAGAAAAATGTAGTGGACATCATAGCTAGTCAAAGTAAGCATATGATAGACATTTTTTTTTTTTTTTTTTTTTTTTTTAGAGACAGGGTTTTGCTATGTTGCCCAGGCTGGTCTTGAACTTCTGAGCTCAAGTGATCAGCCTGGCTTAGCTTCCCAAAGTGCTGGGGTTACGGGCGTAAGCCACTGCACTTGTATATGATAGACTCTTAAATTACAGGATTGAACTAGATGATAACTTTGGTTCCTTTGAGTCTGAGATTGTCTTATTTACAGTCCATGTGATCTTCTTTCCATCGGTGCTTTTCTACACATTTATTGCAATTAGGCAGGTTATTTTATGGAGAATCTCTAGAATCTCTCCATCTCCCTCCCTTGATTCAAAAAGCACCCAGCCAGGTCTTTTAATAATAAAAGCTAACACTCTTCTTTTGCACAATTAATATTACTATGTTCCAGACACTGCATTAAGCATCAAGTCTTTTTAATCTTTATTACCCCATAAGGTAGGATATGCTTCTCCCTATGTT